TCAGGCTGTAAAAGACTATGTCTACTTAGGGCAGGTAATAACCGCGAAGCGGAAACACGAGATTGAAGTAACTAGAAGAATAAGAATGGGGTGGAGCACATTTGGCAGGCACTCTCAAATTATGACAGATATATTGCCACTATCCCTTAAGAGTAAGGTATATACAGCTGTATCTTGCCAGTACTTAGCTAGGGAGCAGAATCCTAGAGACTTGCAAAGAGGGTTCAGCTTAAATTGAGGACGACGCAGGGAGCAAGGGAGAGAAAAACGGTAGGTGTAACCTTAAGAGACAAAAAGAGAGCAGAGTGGATTAGGGAACAAACGGGGGTTAAGGATATCATACTTGAAATCAAGAAGAGAAATTGGACGTGGGCCGGGCATGTAGCACGTAGACAGGATAACGCTGGTCATTAAGGGTAACTAACTGGATTCCCAGAGAAGGCAAGCGAGGTAGGGGGATATAGAAGGATTTGGTGGGCAGGTGAGATTAGGAAGTTTGCGGGTATAAATTGGCAGCAGCAAGCACAGGATCAGGTTAACTGGCGGAACATGGGAGAGGCCTTTGTCCAGCAGAGGAGGTATTCCGGCTGATGATGATGATGATGATGACGATGACGATGATGATGACGATGAATAGCGAGTTCGATACGAGTTTGTGTCCAGTCAGGCTACTTCGTCACTATGTATATGCAGGTGCGTTACGCTTACTTCAGTGCGCAGCAGACATGTAGCAGATATTACTTCAATGCGCAGCAGACATGTCGGGAAGGGCACCAAGCGCACTCACTGTCTGGCATTACAAAGGCTTAGAAGCAATGTGTTTCTTTGCAAATATTTTTATTTGTTATTTTATAGGACAGAACAGAAGTAGAAATTTAGGCAGAGACTATCCATAGAGTCAGCGTGAAATTTTCATGACCAGACTGGGTCATAAGAAAATTAGGTTGGGGCGAAGTAGCCATTTACGGCAACCTTGCTCTCAGGCTCAGAGGTTCAGCAAAAGAATTGCTTGTACATAGAAAAAGACAGGTTTATTTACAGAAAGGTAGAGAGGTCGGCCTGAGCGATAGCTTGCTCGAGCCTGCTACTCTACACTGGTGGAGGGGAAAGGGGAGAAGAAATAGTAATGGATGACAATGGTGAGATAGAAATGTGAGTATATGGAAAATTTTCTAGTTGAGAAAAAATTTACAGCCACGCATATAGTCTATAGTTGCTTCCAAAAAGGGTATAACTGCTCTTACGACCATAGTTGCACTGTTGGAGTCTGGCCAAGGGCCCAACACGGTCTCATCAGTGAAAGGCCTACTGCGATATCGTTCAGTAGAAGAAATCAGTGTTAGTCGTTCACGTGCGTATGCTGGGCAGTTACAAAATATCTGCTCAAGTGTTTCTGGCACATCACAGTGTTCACAATTAGGGACCGGTGTCACTGCGACCGATGATATGTGCGTAACGTCTGGTGTACGCCACACCAATGCGAATGCCGTGAATCGTACTTGCGAGTTGCCGTTTCAATTAATGGGGCGTGCGGAGTCTCATTTCCGGGTACCCATTGTGAAGTCGCCGCTGTCACCGTTCCGGTTTGGTCCAGTGACGAAATGTGTAGCTGCTGATCACGCAGCGAAGCAGGGCGTTCGTGTCAGCTCGTGAAAACGCAATGCGTACTTCAGGGGCACTCCTTAAGGCATTTTAGCTCCAGCGTCTGCCTCTTCGTTTCCCATCACGCCGCTATGAGCGGGAATCCACTAGAAAGTGATAAGATGGCCATTTGCTAAAGCAACCTGAATAGGTTCTGCGATTTCTGTTGCCAAAATTTACTAACGACCTTGCTTCATTACGCAATTATGGTTTGTAAAGCGGGTTTGGCATCCAAGAAATTCATCCAGGCTGGAGGTTGCTCTTCGGAAATAAATCTTATTGCCTCTCGGATAGCGAAAAGTTCTGTGGCAGTTGATGTGTTTTTATGGTCTACTTTGAACCATCGAGCGTTATTCATGCCTGGGATGACAAAGGCTGTGGCGGAGGAGTTTAGTGTTGTGGACCCGTTGGTGTACTCGTTTGGAGAATCACCGTAAGTTGTATAAATGTGATGTAGGGTCAGTTGTCTGAGGCCAATAGAAGAAACGAGCGACTTCTTTGTAATTCCAGGTATCGTAGTACAAACAGGTGGTTTAGGCAGGACCCATAGAGGCACTGCAGGAACATTCGGCGGGCGAAACGTCGATGGCAGAATATTCTCATGCGGCGATATCACTCTTGAATTCCTGCACTCTGGGTGAGTGGCGGGTAGTACTGATAGTGGGTGCTGTCTGTGTCGGCTCAGCAATCGAAGGTGAACTCCAAGTGGCTCGCAGAGCATGTATACACTGATGGGACAAGTCAGGTCCTCTGCTATGGTTCCATTTGTTGATTTACAGTGCGGCAGAACCAATTATTTTCGTAAGCATTGAGCATGAACACTCTCTAGCGTCTTCACACAACTATTCAATTGGAGAGCACCGGCATGCTGTACGTATGTGCCCCACCAATAGAGCATTGCACAATTGAAGTAGCAACTGATGCTGATGGGCCCCATATTGCTCCTGCCACGTGGCGAAGAATGAGAGCAAAGCTCTTCAATTTAGACTTAAGTGCTGCGACGTGTCTCGTCCACGATAGATCTCCTGAACGACTACCGCAAGAAACTTGTAGTGCGTTACAGCAGCTATCGCTGTCCCATTAATAAATATCGGGTATTGTGACAATTGCTTGTACATATGTATTTGCTGCGTACAGACGTCGCAAAGTATTTATGGATACAATACCTACAAAATGCTTATCGTTTAGATCTGTTACAAGCTGCCACTCTAGCGTCACCGGCACGAAGTCGACGGTGGGTATGACAGCAGGTTAGTTTCTTCTGTACGCAAGCAAAAGCAGTGAAGAGATCAGAGACGTGTGTGGGCAAATGAAATGACAGATTTAGTGTACTAGTATGCGGACCAAGAAGAGTAACTGTTCAACAACTCAGAATATATATATATATATATATATATATATATATATATATATATATATATATATATATATATATATATACAAACAATAACTAAGCCTTCAAGCAACAAGTATTAGAAGGCACTCAATTACAAAATGTTATAAACAGTACCATTCTTAAACAGCATCTAAATCGCTACAGTTCATGAAGTACTAACAGGGGATGCCATACGTGAGTTGGCAGCGTTGGGTCTGCGACGATCGGATGCGAGAAGTCTACATGAATTCTGGCACGACAGCGATCCCGGCCACGTTGCAATGCTGATGTTTCCGGGAACTGGAGCTTGACGGTGGGAACAGGCAGGTTGAGCTAACCTGAGTTGAAGTTCAGATTTCTACGAGGCAGACATTGATTGCGTCTGAACTATACAAATAGCTAAGTATAGGTGGCGATCCAATACAACACCACACTAAAAACTTCCAGATGGTCTTCTCCTATCGCATGTCGTATAAGCAACCACACCAGAGCATTATTACCAGAGCATTATCCTGCGTTTAGGTCACTTTCGCGTCCCCTCACTCTGTTCTTGGAAGAAAAGAGGACCATTGACATGGATGCAATCGTCCGTATGACATTGTTCAACACTCCGCCTTTATTTATATTCCAGTCACTCCCCTTTTGCATAAGCGGGGCATGTATCCAACTGGGCGAGGGTGACAAACTTGTCAGATGATTCAATTACATCTCGCTGGTGCGGGCGATAGGGCTAGTGCCTCGGTTATTAGCCAGCGCATCCGGGAGCCTGTATTCTAGTTTGGGGAACTTGGTGGCTGCCCCTCATTGCCACTGACGCAAACGGGTTATTACTTAGAGCTTGACGTCTGAGACGAAAACCCCTGCTAGGGCTTGGCGGCTTAAAAAAAATCTATATCGATCCCCAAGTGGTCTCACGGCCAGAGGAAGGAGCATGGCGCCTAAAAATTTGGCGTGACATCGGGTTGCGAAAATCGGCAGTCGGTGACAACATCCTAATACACTATCTACGTTCTGACGAACGAACGAACGATATATATATAATATATATATATATATATATATAGATATATATATATATATATATATATATATATATATATATTATATATATATATATATATCTATATATATATATATATAATTAAGTATATCCACCATGAGCGTCACAACGTGGTTGATTTCGACGTTTTTGGCCTAGAGTCTGGCCTTCATCAGGATTGCACACGCACACACACACACACAACACACACACATCTATATATATCTATATATATATATAATATATGATGAGCTTGGGTATTTGTTTTCTTTTTGAGATAACTGCTTTATGGTACATGAAAAATATACACAATTTACACGCAAGAGATGTCATTTGAGAAATTACCAGAAGGGCGTTCGTAGACATGCTCCTGGGTTCGCTTTCCTTTAACGATTGTTAGTTACTTTATGATAACTACGGTATGTGGCCAAGGGATGGTCTATCATGGGAGGTATTTGAAAGTTCGAAAAGACAACATTCATACAGGTGCGCCTGATAGTAGCGGGACGTTTCCAGTCATACGATACGAATCAGAGAGGGTAACGTGACATCATGTGTTGAACTATGCAATTGTTTTGCACCATTCAGACGTGCCTCTTTGCTCCGACCTCCCATCCTTTCACTGCAGCGTCTTCGCTGCGAAACTGAGCTGTTATTGCATTGCGAGCTCGTCACACTGCTGCCTTAACTTCTGAGGTGTTCAAGGGCGACTGTGCGGTAGCAGAGGGGTTAACGCGTGAGCTCCCTGTGAAGGGAAACGAAGCTCCCGTGACGCAAGCATTTCTGAAGTCACCGGAGAAGTGTACAGGTCGCCGTCGCAGGACAAGGCGCGAGCATAAAAAGCTTTCCAAGCGAGCTACTATACTCTTTATTCACTTTCAGCCACCTACGGACGGTGGGATGAAGGCAAGGGTTTCTACCCCATCCTCCCTGGTCCACGCAAACTTCCGCACTCGAATAAGCTTTATTGATTCATTGATTGTCTTAAAGTAATAACTAATAGTATGTAAAGGATACATGATGTTGTAACAAAGAGACAGGTATAGCGCTTGTAAATCGCATGTGGTTTGAACGAGAACAGAATGGGCACGCACACTGAAAGGAAAATGTTTGATAAAGTATGGAGCTGAAGGGAGTCGATGTAATCGTATGTCATCAACTAGTGCAGTAGAACTTCTTCTGAGATGACCTTTTGCATCACCTTATCCTCGTCCTAAAACCAGCTTCTCGAGGTTGCACATGGGCATCTCAATGACGAGGGTTAGCAGTGCAGCAACAGCAAAAGCGAGCGCGAGATTTCCAACAAAAAATAACCCTGAAAAAGAGAAGAAATATAAGCTAACATGCATTAGAATATATAGAATCATCATGCATAATAAGTGCTTTAGTATTAATATGCTTGAATCAAGTATACGTGCGAGCAGGGATAGAATAACACATTTCAGTTGTCTGTACACCAAGTTACATCTCGATTGGTAAATAGAAAACAATATTAGGTCAACGATTTTCAAACCTACTTCGAAAAAGACAACAAACAATTGTTCTGGAAAAACTATTGCAGGATACCTTCATCATAAAATCCCTGTGCGCTATGACTCGGTGAAAGCACCCTTGCCATTGTATATAAATTATCAAAATTACGAACAAACAAATTAAGACGTGCTGTAAGATCAGCACTGTCAAACACGCTCATTGTCGATAGATAAAATTTCCGTAGTTCTCAAAAGCGTAACAACACCGTACGAGCACAAAAAGTTTATGTCGTATTCTTATCTATCGAGCACACGTGGCACTCAACTGGTTTTGTTCAGCACCTTGTCAACAAAAATGCTGTTTCTTTGCAAGTGACCTGAAGTGTTCCCTGACTGGAAAATGGATACATTTCTGCACTACGCCAAGGAAAAACACACCACGCGTCAGTGACTCTTGGAGAGGGGCGAAGACTTCTCCGAACGCACAGGTTCGAGGTTGTATGTATGAACTGACACAACACATGACCATGCTGCAAGACATTCCTGCCATGAGAGAGATAGTTATTCACTGTAACACAACCTAAACGTGTCTCCACAAGTAGAGATGCTTTTAACTTTCGCGATTGTGTTGTTCAGGCCTAAATCACGCTGCGTAAAATTCAGCTTTTTTTTTGTAAACTATTTTTTCTTAGTTGCAAACAAGGAAACAGTATTCCCGTGCAAAACAAATCTTATGCCCAACATAAACTTTTGTCCTTGAACCCAATCATGTTCACCATACCCTTGGGCGACATGTTTAAATTTAGTTTCATTGCAGTGCAGTGTAATTTCCTCTAATAATCTGCGCCCAACAAATGTGAAGCATCAGCATCCCATAGAAAAATATTCGAGTATCTATTCTAGTAACTGGAATGCTTTTCGGGATACTTTCTTCGTCATTTTGCAAAATTACCCGTGTAGTATACTGTCACGTCAAAACCACATCTACCTATGTATCTGCATGTTAGCATAACACCTCACGAATTTCGATATTCGTATTTTTAGTACGGTCCTGACTATCTATTTTGAGCCTTGCATTTACGCTTTATTTTGAAGCTTCTTTTAGCTGAGGAGCAGTTGAATAATATTCACATTGAGATATTCACTTTGAGCATAGGAGCTGCGAAAAAAAGAGACGTTTGAAAAAGAAAAAAAACTAGGGAGCCTAATTTGTCATAACATAGGACAAGTACTTTAAATAACGGAACTTCTACCTTTGTCTAGGACATGTTAAAATCATTTGTGAAAAAAAAAGCCTCTGTTACAACTAAATTTTATTATGAAGTAGCAGTCTTGAAATACTCAAAATGAACAAAGGTTGTAAACTCAGTATCTGCAATGGCTTACGCACCACATGCAAAATAAGACTGAGCATACAATTGAAGCCTTGGGCATTCACTTGTACATTAAAGCATGTACAATCTGTTTGTGTGCGACCACATGGCAAACCTGAGCAGTAGTTTGCAAAACAACAAATACAGGGTGCTTTCGATGCCTTCATTTTTATGTCCTAAAACTGTTCGGTGCAGTTGAGTGCGCATTGATAAGATTGACTCTTGAAAAACTCAACATAAGCATGGGAAAGACCGCTAACATTGGATGCGTAATGCAACAAGATTATGATTAGTGGTGGATTTTTTTTTCTTTTGGGTTGCGGAATGTCAATCAACTGGTGAAATAAATTTGTTGATATCAATCAAAACCCAATTACGTGGCAACGCATTGCCACTGCAAGAGCTTCCAATGCGTCCAGAAGAGCACTCGTAGACACGCACAAATGTTAAGCTGACGTAAAAGTTGAACACATGTATCAAAGTTCATTCACCCACTAGACAGCATTCAGAGCGGAACTCCGCTATGTTATCTTTGAATGTCTACGACACAGTAATCTCACCATAAGAAAATAATTGTAGTCGAAGCTTTCCTGTCGTGAAGCATAGAAGAGATACTGCAGGGGCTGATGCGTAAGGTATACTGCAAACACAAGCTTGCTGAGTGGTGCAAATACACTACAGGATAGAAATTTTGTCACCAGGCCTGAAAGAAAAATCATGGAGTATGAGCATGTTTACAAGCTACAGGAACAAGTCGTGTTCAACTTAGATGTTTCTGTGGTATATACTTTTCGATGTAAGATAAGTTAAAATGATGTCGCAGTTGGCTACAGGCGCACTGGTGTGCAAGAAATTGGAAATATATAGGGCCACTGGGATCAACTCAAATGCACTCAGATAAAATGACATACCAGAGGGAACCGCTGTGTTCATTGAACATTTAAAGTTATGATGCCTTGACGGTCTTGAAAATGTATCGCACTACTTGAGATTGCAGTGGTACCATTGGTATAGTGTTGGGCTGCTGACGTGTAAGTTTCTGCTTTGATACTGATTGCAACGATTGCATTTCATAGCAATCACTGTTAGAGTTTAACGTTCCAGATACCTCATATGATAAGATTATGGCAGACGCCGTAGTGAAGGGCTCTAGAACTTTTGATTACCGGCGTTTTTTTTTAACGGGACCTAGGACTAAACAAGCAGGCTTCATGCATTTTCGCCTCCATCGAAAATGCCACCGCGCCCCGCCGCGGTGGTCTAGTGGCTAAGGTACTCGGCTGCTGACCCGCAGGGCGCGGGTTCGTATCCCGGCTGCGGCGGCTGCATTTCCGATGGAGGCGGAAATGTTGTAGGCCCGTGTGCTCAGATTTGGGTGCACGTTAAAGAACCCCAGGTGGTCTAAATTTCCGGAGCCCTCCACTACGGCGTCTCTCATAATCATATAGTGGTTTTGGGACGTTAAACCCCACATATCAATCAATCAAAATGCCACCGCCAACTGCGGGATTCATTGCCACGACCGGTGCGTCAGCAGCCTAGTGCCTTACCCACTAGACCACCTTGGTGGTGACGGTTGCATGTTGATGGCGGCGAAAAGCTTCAGTCCTCCGCACTTTGATTTAGAGGTACGCAACCATGTCTCGTGTGAATGAAATGTTCTGTGTCCTCCACTAAGGCACACTTCAGAAACGCATCGTGGTTCAGTGAAGTATTGCTACAAACGATCAAACGATCAGCGTTTGTTACACTCCAAAGCTCGCATGAGCAGTGTTTTCTTCGTATATGAACAAATAATCAGTAAACAGTGATTTTCGTTGGCTGACGTTTCGGCAACACATTCCAAGCACAATGTGGAGTTTGTGCCATGGTCAAACACACTCTACGCTTTAAAACACGTTTTTATATTTAACATCGTCCTGCCACAGCGTTCTTGGTAAAGTGCAGTAATGCATGAAGACCGTGACATCCACAACCAGTTTCCTCAACCTGTTGCTTCTATGCGCGGGTCGCATTTGTGCGTACTAAGAGAAGTGAACTTTGCAAAGCCTTTGGGGTAGGGCCACCCTGGTTGCGACCTTATTCTAGCATTCGGTGTGCCTCATACAATTCATTAATACAAAAATTGCTCTGCGAAAATTAGCGGCTTTCCCTTGCTTCACTCCGTGTTCCTCACTTATGATCGCCTTGCGAAAAATCGTGACCAATGAACCAACGTTGCCGATCAGCGTGCTTCAAAATGCGCTCGTTGACAAGCGCAGTCGGAGTTGAGGATTCACGATCCCGAAGCAAAACGAGCACAAGGAAGAGCCGATCTTTACCTGAGACAAGGAAGAGCCAATCTTTACCTTTACTTGAGAGCCAATCTTTACGAAGCCGAAGCAGCAGGGGCTAGTCGGGAAGCGCCCCCGGAGCCTGCGATCTAGCATGCCGATCTACCATGCTGAAGTGCCGGGAAGCTGAACGAGCACGGATTCGTCGACAAGCACACCCGAGGTTGAGGATCCACTATGCTGAAGCAAAACTAGCGCAAAGAGCAGCCGATCTGGAGCTGAGGTCCCGCTAAGCGGAATCGGCTTGTGCTCGTCGACAAATGCACTCAGATTGAGGATCCACGGTGCCGAAGCAAAACAAGCGCAAAAAGGAGCTGAGGTCCAGTGAAGGTCCTTAGCTGAGGGCCAGCGATGCCGAAGCAGCACGGGCTCGTTGAGATGCGCACTTGAAGCAGAGAATCCCCGATGCCGCAAAAAAAAACAAAAAAATTCGAGCACGAAACCATTTTGATTTGAAGTCCCGCGAAGCCGGAGCAGCACAGCCTCGTCGACAAGCAGACCCGGAGCTGAGGATCCATAATGCTGAAGCAAAACCAGCACAAAAAGGAGCCGATCTTGAATTGAGGTTTTGCGAGGCCGAAGCAGCGTGGGTTCATCGACAAGAGCACCCTGAGCTGAGCATCTACGATGCCGAAGCAAAGCAAGCACAAAAAAAGCCTATGGCAAGCTGAAAACCCATAAAACCGGAGCAGCAGGGGCTCGTCGACAAGCAGAACTAAAGCTTAGCGCCCGGGAAGCCGAAGGAAAGCGGGCACAAGGCCGATGTACTGAATAGAAAACGTTGGCCTGTGCTTAAAATCACATATGACCCACAAAATTGGGACACCTCCCCGAGTTGTTGTCTGTAAAATAAAAGAGATCCTCAGCAAATGCCATCATCGGCTCTGTATGAATAATAAATCACTCTTAAAAACAGTATCACACACTGTCAGTGTGTTTTTGAGTCTTCAAGCAGTCGTCGAACGTTAAAAACGCACAGATGATTCACAGTTTACCATATTTACTTTCTCAGCTTCGGCCACTCATCAGTATTCAGTGACTGGATATTGCGGAAATTTTGGGGTGCCTTTCTTGGCTGTGAACTAAATACTGATTCCTCTTGTTCAGCTTCTCACTCGAAACTTCACCTAATTATTACAATGTGATAACGTACTTTGCCCTGAAGACCACCTATTTATTGTTCTACTTACCACCACATCCCGCCATGGACGAGTACACAATCCAAGCCAACCCAAGGCACCACACAGTTGGCGCAGAAGCATTGAAAGCTCCACGCAAGGGACTTTCCAAAGGGGGATTCATAATCCTTAGGCCGAAAATGGCGAACAGTAGACAGATAATGCAGCACAACCAGCCCAATCGACCATTGAACTGGAAAGAAAAAAAAAGTGACACGAAAGTTTGTGACATGAAATTGATGTAATGCTGCATCTCAAAGTTCTTCGAAATAAAACAGCCATTTCTTCAATCATTGGCATCTAGAGATTTCTGATATAAGAATGCATTGTAACGCCTGACTACGAGGCTGTTCTATGAAATCAATATAAAAATGTATGATTGACGTGCAAACACAGGGACAAAAAAATGGGTCTGGCCAACATAAATGTCCATTTGCAATCCTTAATTTTTGGTTTTAAGCACGTTTCCATGTCTACCTGATAATTCTAGCTGTTGTTTGTAAGATGCCATACAAAACATTTCAAGAACTTGTCATTTTAAATACGTCAAGAAAAACCAGACTGCTAGTGAGTACCGCAGACCAGACAGCAAGCAGTTCTTTGCTATAGTTAAAATAGGGTGAAATAGTCGGTTTCAAACGATGAAACTTCGAATTACAAGAAAAAGAAACATTACAGACTGCTCATTAACAAAACTAATTGAAAGAACGGCAATTTTTAAACTTATAGTGAATTGTTTGTACATGCAGTTCAACCTATAGGAAGTGATTGGTCGCCGCTTTACGAGTATAGACCCCTGAAAAAAATAAAAATGATGCAGCTTCAAGATAAAATAAAGCGATTCATGGATTTTGTTCGTTCCACAAGGCACGCACCACTGATAAAAAATCACGGGCTGTGGATCATTCAGAAGAGCGCTTGAATATACAGAACTAAGAAACGTCGGGCGGTGCTACCAGCGCACTGACATCCGCGCCACTAACGTAGATGTCGCCAGTGACACAGGCACTCCACCAGCGTGTCGGCTACCATCAAGCCTTTCCGATCGTCACGTCGTGTTCTGTGGTCTCGTCGTCTTACAACGTCACAACATCCCTCAAGGTTGCACTGCGCAACAACTCTATTTGCTCGGACGCTTTTTGTATCAGCAGCCCATGCAGACAGCGCGCAAGCTGCGCGCAATGTCACGGCTTGTACATTGTGATTCCACGCCTATTATAGACACCGAAGACTCATTTAGGCCATCGCTACTGCAGATATGGCACCGCTTGCTGGGCAATAACTCGGCTGCCAGCTAGAGGAGTCCCAAAACTGCAATGAATAAAGCAGGACTAATTGCCATTGACCGGCTGCTTTGCACTGAGTGGCAATCAACGAAATTGTCATGCTATAAAAGCATTGAAACACACTGGACAAGAACAATATTTCTTTAAGCATTGCTAAGTATACTCACTTATTGGTTTTGTCTTCTGCTCGAGCGCCGTACAATTTTTCGTAATTTCAATGTATGGGAGTGTACTAATACAAAAGTTGAGGATAAATAGAAATAATAAATAGGGCAAAGCAGTCAGCGCACAAGAAAAACGCTTTATAGTGCTGGTTACTTGCCGTTCCTTGCCGGCCACCATCAACCACGACAACGCCGCATAAAGAATACAGCATAGAAACAAAATGAAGCCGAAGTAAATGGATATCGAGTACCCATGAATGTGCAATTTTCAATTTTCTTGCGGTGAACACGTGTTAGTGTGATCGTCATTATATAAAAAATCACAGCACATCCACGGAGTGAATGCTGACGAGCAGGGTGAAGCATCCGTCAGTCCATCCGTCTGTTCGTTCTTGCTTCCGCGAATCTATGTGTCCGTCCGTCCGTACGTTTGTGCGTTTTGCATGCATTCGTTCATGCATGCAAAACGCACAACCCACGGACGGATGGGTTCATGCAACCCATCCGTCCATCCATGCGTCCTCCGTGTGTCCACCCGTCCATCCGTGCGTGTATGCGTCCATGCATCCGTTCGTCCACTTGTGCGTTCATCTGTCCGTACATTCGTGCGTTCGTCTGTGCGTCCATCCGTACATTCGTGCGTCTGCTCATCTGTGCATCTGTCTGTCTGTCCGTGCATCCATCTGTTCATCCGTCCGTTCATTTAGTGACCACTCCAAGTACCGCCATCTCGCATCTTTTTATCACATATTGATCAAATAGGATTACCGCCACCCAGCGGACACACGACCCACAGCATAAGGAGCTTCGCCCATTAAAAATGCAGCCCGCATCTTACAACGGGGCCCCGCCGCAGTGGTCTAGTGGCTAAGGTACTCGGCTGCTGACCCGCAGGTCACGGGATCAAATGCCGACTGTGGTGGCGTCACTTTCGATGGAGGCGGAAATGTTGTAGGCCCGTGTGCTCAGATTTGGGTGCACGTTAAAGAACCCCTGGTGGTCAAATTTCCGGAGCCCTTCACTAATGCATCTCCCATAATCATGTGGTGGTTTTGGGACGTTAAACCCTACATAACAATCAATCAATCATCTTACTTTGGGGGTGGGGGGCTATAGAAAGAAAATAAAACATTTCTTGGTAATAAATAAGTCGCTATAGTGATCGGGCCTCTTTGTCCGGAAGTCCATTGGTTCTTGCCGCCGTACGGGTTCGGTCAAGCAGGGCCTGTTGCTGCACTGGGTCAGAGCTGGACAAGGTCCCCTCCTACACGACTAATGCAGAATTATGATTGTGTGATATACAGGAATTATTTTGGCACTCAGATTCGAGTAAGTGCGTCGCAGAGTGGTGGGGCTATCGCGTGAGTGTTCCGTTTGGGATTGTTAACTGTTCTTTTGTCTTTTATAATTCTTATTCATTGAATGAAGGAAAAGCATTGCCTTCAATGAGTGATAGGACGCTATTGTGCGGTCCAGTGCCTGCATATACAGGGTGGCCAGTGAACGATTGTGCAACTCAAGATGTCGATTTTTACTGTAGACGCCGCCTGCCTCGGCCTTGCGAGCCGAGAGAGGAGAGGGGAGCAATCAGTTGGCACGAGACGCAAGCATGTGGCAGGATATGCGTGGCGCATTCGCAGTGGGGGTGAAGATATTTCCGCCGACGCACGACGTATCACATCGAGGGATTAAGAAATGCTCCGCATTTAAAAATACAGAAGCCACAAGACGACAATACAGTGCGTCGTAAGCTATCGCAGAAATCGTGTTCCACGCTCTGTAAATCGGCAGGATGATTTCTGCAATTTTAGTTCGAAAATATCAACCTAAAAACCGTTAAAAATTTACCATACAATAGGCTCACATTCGGCAACTGCCTGGTGTATATTACCTGCACAATGACAAAGACCTTTTACCCAATCGCTCTTGCATAAAGAATAAAGCTCGTCCTCGGCTTCTTTGGCAATGTGCAACGGTTTCCATTTAAAAAGGCATTTTTTACTTGACTAGTCGAACGGCAATTATTCACTTTTGCATTCGCAGATTCTCCCAAGATTTAGACTAGAAGCTGTACAGCCTCACGCCCGGTTAACCTTCGTGACTGTGGCAGTCGTTGACAGAGCAGTACTTGCGCTCAATTTACATTTTTACATGGAGGCGACCAAACGGTTCTGATGATGCCATCGGAGCTTGAATAACAGGAGCGGGTACAAATTTTTCTATTGTGAAGGACAAATGCTCGAAAAATAAACGCTAGAACCATGCTAGATATGTGCAGCGAAAACTAGCCTACGCGCGCAAGCTCCTTCAATCCTATTGCTTGGCCCGCCCGATGGTGTGACGGGTTCTCAAAACGGCAATGCGGGGTGCTTATGGCCTCCTCGCATACACGAGTTCCCTTGTTTGAAAAATTAAAACAAGACTTCGCATGTCGTGGCACAAAAACCTTACTCTCGGTGTCTCACATGAGAGAATGAGCGCGCTCGCATAGGCAAGGCTTTGTGTTGGTCGAAATTAAGGGGAAGTTAGCCTGCTGTCGGATTCTACAAATACTGTGCTTATACTGAGTTACCCTGATGTTCGTTGCGATGATGCGCAAAATTCAAGGTATCCTCAGAGATAAAATTGCTGCATACCGATACATTACGATCACTGCAACATACCAAAAGTGTTTTACTGCCATGCGAAATTATCAATGTACATTCTATCTACCAATTACGAGCAGCAAGCACTCAACCTATAAACAGACAGCCATCCCCTCTGCATTAGGGTAAGAGCATTGCGAAGAAAGCTCAAATTTCGGTAAGAATATAACAGCGGTGTTGTGCTGTCACATTTTATTTAGGAGCATTAAATTTTTATCGTGTTATGACGTCACCTGAGCGGAAGTAAATGTTTAAACGACCTAAAGACTTTGTTTCTGCAGTACACTGAATTCCATTTTTCGGCGGATATCCCCAAAGGATGGTAATTCAGGTAAGAGGAATCCCCAGAACGAAAGAGAGAGAAATTGGTGTTTTAGTTATATTTTGTTGCTAATCTTTGGCGCTATTCATTATCATTTTGGTCTAATGAAATTGACGAATGAATATTCAGATGACTATGTAGCTACAGTCGAAGCAATATTTATTACTACCTATTTATGTACTATGGTGACCGACTTATTGTCTTTATCTAGATTAACCAGGCTAGAGTGCACAAAACCAATCGTTTCTATTTTCATTCTTTATGCAAAGTTTCCACCTAAACGAACTGCATTACGTAGTTTGAAATAAGAATAGGTGGACGTATTAAAGAAAAAAAGTCACAAGAAAGGTACAATGCAAGCTATACTTGGAAACCTCCATACTAGTTTAGACATAAACTGTTACACAAGAGATTATCCCACTTTAATAAAGTGGCTGTTGAATCTTTATCGCCATTCAGTATGCAACGACTTCGCCTCCGATGAAAGCAGCGGTATCTATCTAAAAAGCTTAACACGGTATTTTTTTTCTTCAATTACTAAGTTTATACGAGCTGCTATTTGGTGCATATTCACATCTAATGCAATACAATGTGACTCTACAAAATAAAATTTCCCACTGAAGGTGGCACCACCATGGTAAAGGTACTGCTTTAGCGTTGTTGTGAGCCTGGGGTCTACCTGACGCGGCACCATTGAATTAACTTACAGACAGGTCAGGGTTACGTCGGACCCGGCCTCCTGCGCTAGCGTGGAGCGACTTCGGGCGGAGGAAAATATGCTGAGAAGTTGGGGAAAACGATAACAAACCGATATACTGGCATTTTGTACAACTATTTAAAACATAGAAGGTTAGAATTCTGCGAACGGCGATTGTGGTGGATGAATCAATAAACCAGGGTTCCGAGCCACTTGCGCCTTGCGTGGTTGTTTTGTGGCCCTTAGTCACGGCGCACTGGCAGTATGGGCACGGCGGCACTGGCAGTATGCGGTGGTCTTACATTCCGCTGATCTTCTTTACGCAGCTTCTCGGCTTGTTCGGGCGTGCGAATGCCAGTCACCCGGGATCGTTTGTCGGAGGCCTATCTGCGCATGACCACCATTCAAGACAGCACGTGTCTTGCCTGCCGCTACCAACGTCGTTGGATGGACTATCTCACGGATCGTCTACGTCGTTGCTTACAGCGGAGGATGTCAGCCTGCAGGCGGCGCCATCGTGCATCTGGACTACATATAAGCTGCCTCCGTTCCTCAAGCTCAGTGGGCACGGCGGCACTGGCAGTATGCGGTGGTCTTACAATCCGCTGATCTTCTTTACGCAGGTGAGATTACCAAACGACAAGTGTATCCGTAGTAGCGACCCTTTTTTGCTTGTGCTGCCGTGCCCACAATTGTGTGTCATGATGTGTACCACCATGTCTGTACTAAAGAAATTGTTGTTACTACTCGGTGGAGATATTGAAACAAACCCTGGCCCGGAATTGACGCAAATCTGTAAGCAGCTAGAAGCAATTGCTAGCGATATTAAGGAAATAAACGAGACCCGATTGGTCAACATAGAAAGCAAAATGGATACCCTCACGCGACTGGAACAAAAGGTCGAGGCGTACCAGGAACAAGTGGCCTCTATGAGTGCTCAAATCCTGGTTCTAGAGAATAAAATTGATGAATTAGAAAACTACAGCAGGAGATCAAATTTGATTGTTTACGGCATACCTGAGGTTGAAAAAGAAACCAACGAAAGGCTAGAGCACGTAGTGAACAGTGAAATCATTGAGGGCACTCTGAAACTGAATCCGGTTGCAATTGAACGGATTCATCGTTTAGGAAGGCCGGATCCAAACAAGACACGACCTGTAATTTTCAAACTGCTTGACATGAGAGATAAGAGCAGTATACTAAAGAACGGTCATAAACTGAAAAATACTAATTTTTCAATTGGGGAGGATTTTTCAAAAAAAGTACGAAATGTACGTAAGAAACTGTGGGAAAGTGCCAAACCGAATCGCGATAAAAAGGAGAAAGTTGCATTAGCATTTACCAAATTGTACATAAACGACAAAGCCTATGTCTGGGACAGCGGTAAAAATGAACGAGTACCACTACAAAAAAACGACGCCATGAACAGGAGCCGCCCAATGACACGGCTCCATGCATTGGCGATAGGGTCATCACACTAGGCAAGAGTAAACACCAAACGAACCATTCCATACCCTTTAACAAACAAGGCGCACAAAATAACGTAAACATTTGCAAGGAACGACAGCTGCGAATCATCAATTTAAATGCACGAAGTGTCAATAACAAAACAGAACAGTTCGAAATTCTGTTACTTCAACATGACCCTCACATTGCGGTAGTCACTGAAACCTGGTTGCGCAGTGATGTAAGTGACGACCACGTTTTCCCCCCTGGTTACAATATATACCGGAAAGATAGGGAATCTAGGGGGGGCGGGGTTGCCGTTTTGATCAAGAGATCAATAGAAGCCGTCTTTGTTGATAATCCTTTTGGGCTTGAGTGCGCATGTCTTAGATTGTCTTGTTGGGGCTTCAGTTTCATTCTTTATGCTCTTTATAGACCGCCGGATGCCGGAATCGATTATGTTGCCAAGTTACGGGATCACATGCTCCAGTTCCAAAATAGCAAAATAATACTAATTGGTGACTTCAACTTCCCAGGAGTCAACTGGGAGCGGTTCCAGACAGACTATGAATCCAACAAACAAATACATATTTTGTTTGATATAATGCTTACTCACGACTTGATCCAATTAGTTAAAGAACCCACTCGTGTCAACGCTACATCCAGTTCTGTACTAGATCTTGTATTCGTTCACCGCGACTTTAGAGAGAGTACAGTAACAGTAGAAAAGGGCTTGTCAGATCATCATCTTGTTTGTACCTCTCTGCCATTGGGTCGGTCTGTCAGTACTGATAAATGTTCATCACGCTCTTTCAAGGATTATTCACAAGCTAACGATGAATGTATAATTGAGCATTTAGAATCTTCCCTTGATGATTTTGATGGGGACGACGTATGCGCCTTTGGAATAAATTTAAAGAAATGTGCCAATACTGCGTACAAACTTTTGTGCCAAACAAGCGCAAACGAGTCTATAAACACACGCCTTGGGTAACCCGGAAGATAATTCACCTTAAGCGAAGAATTAAACGCTTAAAAAAAAGACATGTACAATCGCCCGTTGTAGAAGAGATAAAGAATACTTTGGCACGTGAGGTTCGTGGCTCCAAAGACTATTATTTTAAAACATTGTTGCCTAATTTTATTAAAAATGACCCTAGTAAATTTTGGAATTATATTTCTGAAAAAAAGAAGCCAGTGAAGGAAATTGTAGTGGGTGGTTCTGTTATTTCAGACTCGCAGGCAATTGCACAGCATTTTAACCAGTACTTACAAAGTGTATTCTCTGATTCTTGCGCATGTATGTTGGCGCATACCGCAGTGTATCGTCCTAGTGATGTTGGCTTTATTTCTTACTCTGATGTGTTATCTATGCTTTTGAACCTTAATACAAAAAAACCATGTGGTCCCGACAGCATTCCAAACATATTTCTTTGTCGCTATGCTGAGTCACTGGCTAAATTTCTTGTTGTTTTATTTCGTACTTCTTTAATGTATGGCGAGCTCCCCGAAGACTGGAAGATAGCTCTGGTTGTACCTATCTTTAAAAAGGGCGACCGCCTATGTTTTCAAAATTACCGTCCAATATCACTAACATCTTCTTGTTGCAAACTAATGGAACACATTGTCGCCACTCGCATTCTTGAATACTTAAACGACCATAATATTCTATCAGGTTTCCAGCACGGGTTCAGGAAAGGGTACTCCACCGTCACACAGTTAGTTACAGTATTTCATTCGTTTGCACACACCTTAGACAACACCGGTCAAATAGATGCAATATTTCTAGACTTCAGTAAAGCATTCGATAAGGTACCACATGACAAATTAATTCTTAAGATGCGAAATATTGGCCTCCCCGAAATTCTGGTCACATGGGTTGCAAATTACTTGACAAACCGCAAACAACTGGTCATAATAGATGGAATAGGGTCCGGCTATCTTGATGTCACTTCGGGAGTTCCTCAGGGAAGTGTGCTGGGTCCATTGCTTTTCATACTGTATATAAATAATATTGTTAATGTAATTACAACTGGTGTGCAAATTCGGTTGTTCGCGGATGATGCAGTTTTGTTTCGGGATGTTTCGTGCTGTGCTGATCAGTGTGAACCTAATACCAATCTTACTAATATACTTGAATGGTGCAAGAACTGGGGAATGGTGCTGAACGCCGACAAAACACTGTATCTTCGCATAACACGAAAGAAACTTCCGTACGACTATCAATACACACTAGGAACATCGCCATTGAAACAAGTCACCAGTCATAAATACCTCGGTGTCACACTAACCAGCAATCTCTCGTGGAATTTACACATTGACAATATTTGCTCATCTGCCTTTCGTAAGCTATGCTTCTTAAAACACAAACTCAGAAATTCCCCTTCTAACGTCAAGCTCCTCAGCTACTTTACTTTTATTAGACCTAAACGCGAATATGCCTGTATAGTCTGGGACCCCTACACTAATCACAACATCCGTAAAATGGAAAGAATTCAGAGAAAAGCTGTAAGGTTTATTTACTCTAAATACTCACGTACTGATTCTCCCCCACAAATAATGCTTGCTAACAAAATCCCCAGCCTTGAATCCAGGAGAAAGTGCTTCCGCCTTGATTTCCTTTCTTCACTAAGTAAAGGTGCACTGTCCATTGACCCATCTCTGTTCTTGTCACCGTTACAAACAAGATCTACTAGGCACCACAACCCGAATGCTTTCGCCCCATATTTTTCTGCTACTGACACCTTCAAGTACTCTTTTTTTCCGCGTACGATACAAGAGTGGAATGAATTACCCCATGTATAAGTGCCTTGTTTGCTTGTATTGTTTGTATTTTTGCATTTTATCTTCTTGTGCCCCCCTGCTTGGACCTAACCATGGTATGCAGTATGTATTAAATTAAATTAATTAGTCGGGCTCCTTATTCTTTGTTGGAAACCAATTACACATAATGAATGACACATGCACTCGCTGACTCACTGTCCCTCCGGGCGCTTTCACTCAAGAAGGGTGGTCCGTCACGTGGGTGATTTAACAGATCAGTGCTAACTGACATCTCGCTTTGGAAGGACACGACTTAATCGCTTAGTGACGAGCTACGTGGTCGGTCGGCCACGAAGCCTCCCCAAGCAAGCCATTGTAGAGGAAAACCCTGCAAGGACATTGGTTCGCGGTCCATAGAAGTTGCCACATTCTTAGTACTTTGAGGCGTCTCCCGCTTTTGGGCGCTCGTTACAGAGAAATTCATGGGGTTTCAAGATGTGGAAACGCACCCCAGCTATGCTTTTCATGGACGAAATTTCGTCAACAACAGAGACTCACAATAGCGTGTACAAAACTAATATTCTGATACACATACAGCTCAGGCAACCACGAATTACAGGCATGCCTTTCCTTCCAAATCGCTTCTTTAGGAAACTTCTGGAGCAATTTTCGCACATGTCCATATTTTTGCTACAACGTACATACCATATACAGGATATTTGAAGGGGAATGAATACACATTGCCTCCTTACTTTTGTAGCCGAGATGCTCTCTTTGTTGGCTACAATGTAGTTGCCCAAAAGAATGCCAGCGAGATACGTCGAGATGCGAAAATAGGGCTTGATGTAAACATCTTCCATGTAGTCATAAACACCAGGAACACTCCTGCGAAAATAGATTAGAGCAATAAGTCATAACCTATGCTACAAATTTCAAATCATAAGTGCTGAATACTCAGTCAAAAGCTATAGCAGAGTGACGCAATTATATTCATAACACAATCGGTTATGAAGTAGCCATTCAACTATTGCTTTAGAAGAATCTGTCAATATTGAAATCGACATTTTCTCATCTTTTTTGTCAGCATCTTGATCGTTTTGACGATGTTTTGTGTATTTATAATTCTGGACTTCAGCTAAACCCAAAGAACTGCCGTTTCGCCAACAAGAACATCAAGATATTGGGCCACCTTGTCAGCAAAGATGGCGTTCGGCAGGATCTTGACAAGCTTGCTGCCGTGATACGCTACCCTCGGCCAGAAAATCAGTAACACCTAAGAAGTTTCCTGGGCCTGTCGTCCTACTTCCAACACTTCATTAGTTGTTTTGCTGCCATCGCGTCGCCACTGCACAAGCTGCTGACATCCGGATCAACTTTCGCTCGGAACGACGAGTGCGAGCGTGCCTTTCAAGCTCTCAAGCTTGCTTTAACAATCCGACCCTGTTCTGTGCCATTTCGATGAGAACGCACCTACATGTCTGCACACCGACGCGAGTGGCCATGGCATTGACGCAGTTCTTCTACAGCGGGATGCCACTTCACAGGAAAGAGTTATTGCGTATGCTAGTCATGCTGTTACAGCTGCTGAACAGAACTACCCCATAACTGAGCAGGAGTGACTCGCTGTCGTTTGGGCCATACAAAAATTTCGACCGCATCTTTACGGACGCCACTTCACAGTTATTACTGACCATCACGTCTTGTGCTGGCTATCTTCACTGAAAAACTTGTCTGGTCGCCTCGGTAGTTGGGTGCTCCGCCTACAATAGTACGATTTCGACGTCATCTATAAGTCTGGCAAAAGACACCAAGATGCAGATGCTCTCTCTCGCTGCCCCCTTCCACTGTCATCATCAAGTACGTCAGCTGATTGCTCGTCTGGTGGGTAAGACACTGCGTCCCCCCACACATTATCACACCTTGCGGTCATCGACACGCTGGCTTCAAATCACTACAAAGAAATCGCCACACGCCAGCATGATGATTCATATTGCAATCGCATTATCCAACGACCGCAGAATGCGCCATGACTCTGCAAATAAAAGCTTTGAAATATGTGAGCACTTTCTGGTTACAAATGTGGTAAACACAAGGAACTCAAGCTGTTAAAATTGAGATTTCGCGTAAAGATGAGAAATGCCGTTATACAACACTTCTCAATCCTCGCATGTCCTTTGTAAATTTCGTTGTTCCACATATTAGTTCTAGCATTCGATGGCTGCAATAATATGTTTATATAAGTCGAACGTTAGCTCGTTTTGGCGATTTATTTCTTTCTTATTTCTAACATACTTGAATGACTTGCGAGAACATGTTTTTCTTTGAGGTGCAACAGCATACTGAACTCTTTTATGGTCGAGATATCAATAAGCGGGAAATTCCCTATGCCTATCGAATGTATAACCAAGTACAAATAAGCAGAATTATGCAGTTTCGTAACAGTTAATGCAGTTCTTTCTGCTCAGTACTGAGCTGAAGTAAGGACGCAATCTCAATAAATCTTGCATTTAAGAACTTATTCAAGACTTAGAGACATTAGATGATTGGAAACTACGAAGCCTGTTACCTGAAATAATTATGGTGGAAATGTTAAGAAAGTGAAGCGGTAGAAATATTATTTTTCGCTCACAGCAAACTTTAAAACTTCGGATAACAAATTACGTGCTCTATCAATAAGTGACAATGGTGGTCATTCTTCCTGTCCGCTTTATGAGATAAATAGGAATATTCAAACGCGCGAACGTTAATCAGCACTGGTCGGAGAAACGGCGTTGACAGTGCAACTTCTTTTTTCAACTAGGAAGCGCACACTTAGTCTTCACAGAAGATGAAAGTAGCAATGTATGTGAGGTTTATTTTAGCGTAAATATTTGCATGCACTTTTTTCTACCTGCGATAAAAGCTTTGAGTCGCTTAACAGAACCACCGATGAAAAGAAAGACTCGAAGAAGCTCACAGCAGAAGTTACAGGGCTATGCGTTACTGCTTGGTAGCGAGCTGTTGCCGCCGCCGCTTCATAAAAACGAAGTCGAGTGGGTGCTGCTGCATCGAGTGACCGCGATAACTCTCTGCTAGCATTTACTGAGATTTTGCAATGTGACAAGTTGCTTTAGGCACTCTGTTGCACACTTCTCGAAAATACCACTGGTTTCACAATTCGCGGAGCAAATATTCAACTTCAAGCCTTCTTATTTTCGCATTTATTTATTGCACAGCTCTAAGAAAATGACAGCAGATCTGAGGCTACTAAGAAGGCAGCTTTGTTTGATTTATTTAGCCTTAATGTTGCTTTAGTATTTTAATTAAATGTGCTCCTGAATTTATTTTCAGTGAGCGAAATACTAGAGATACAGCATGGTCCTCTATACCGTTTCTGTATTTTCTATCACGGAGAGACTAACGTACCTTAAACAGCTACCTGATTACTGTCCACGACGTTTTGTTAGCAAAGGTTGCGCAGGTAAAGCATGACTATTCACTGTATTGTGCCGATTCTTTCTTTAATTTTTATCAGCGCATTCAAGCATTAAACAAAGTAACGTGACCGCCCTAAAGGAGTGTTGCAGCGTGAAAAAAAAAGACATATCGCAGGTGATTTCAGGATTGTTTTCCATTGTGTAAACATCAACGTTAGCACTAGAACAAATTTTCCCAATACATAGGAACAAAGTGCGCAAAAAGATTACGTACCCCATTCCATGCACTGCAGTATACACTGTGGTGAAACTAGCGGAAGCCACAACAAGCACTCCGCACACCACCTTTCCTACACGAGGCCATCTGCGAACATAAAATAAAAAGAAACGAAGCAAATTGCGCAGGTGACCTGAAAACAACTGTATCGTCAGAACTAACAGACATTGTTAGCTGTCAAACAGACAGTCTAAATATAGTGAGTCTAAAAACAAAAAAGCCCTCGAAAAACACTGTTTTCTTTCAATAAAAACATATAATTTATAATAATGAGCTATCATTGTTTTATTAAGATTGTGATGTTCATGCACAATAGTACCTTCTTCATTAGTTTTATGTTCTCAAGTGCCATATGCGATAACAAAGAGCAATTCATCCGTATAGTGCTAATGAATATCATCAAGATTGTTGCACTACTAACAGCCGCCTAATTGCATGCACTACACAACAGGAGTCTCACTCACCTCCGCTACCAGGTTGTGGCAACGAAATTACCCTCACACAATAGCTGAGACGGTGAAGAGTTAACAGGACATGGGGCATGAGATGAGGGGGTGAGCAACTTCCCGCTTACGTTGGCCCTTCGAACAAGGCCTGTCCAGAATATTTTATATTAGAAATCCGTGAATAGATTGATGTCAGCATTCAATTGATGCTCACCTCCAGAATTGAATTCCTAAATATAGTTTCTTTTCGAAACTATGTTACAATGCTTATGACCCCTCGGGGGGCTTAGAAAAAAAATTGAGGTGAGCTTTATTTGTGAATATCCTTGGCAAACCTACTCGGGATTAAAATAATAATAATTGAGACGAAGATAGCCACGTGCTGGCTAAGCCGCTAGCTGAATATTCGAGGGCCACGTGCTTGAACTCGTGCACTACACAAAGATGGACTGAACATAATTTCTTCTAGGCCAGAAGTACTAAATTAGAGTAGCTTTGATAAAAACAATTTTTACTAAGTATAACTTACCTGTACAGAAGATAATTAAATATTGGAGCGATGCAGTAAAGTTGGAAGTCAACTGCTGAGTACCATGTATGTGGTAAGCACTGCAAGTAAGTTAAAGGAGCATTCTCTTGGTGAACGAGAACTCTCTCAGGAATCACGTGTGCAATAACAACTGCTTCAGGCACATAGATTGTAACATCCCCGCTTATAGGCAAGATTTGAAATACTCATATCTGACTGCCAATTAGAGGGAACCTTTATTCCTGTCACAATATTGCAGTTATATTCAGCTCCTTGACTTATTCAGCTGGTGTCCTAGGCATTTAGGATATAGGTTCCTAATAAAGACAATAGTCGATCTTGGCAGACTTGAACGCAGATATTTCGGTCTGTCTGGCAATCTGTCATGAAGCACAGCCACCCGGCCGAAGTTTCCGCCCGTCCTAAACGGCCAGCCATCTTAGACTGGGATGCGCTTTCATACTTTTCAAGATTGCTGCTCAAGAAGGATATATTATCAATCCCTGATGCACAACAACCGTTCCAAAGTATTACGTGGTGTGTTTATTCACCAGGAAATGCTTAGATTGGTAACTCAAAATAATTCACATCATATCCAGAAACTGGATGATAAATAGTAAGGCGAAGTGTCCATCCGTCAGTTTGTCCATCCATCCATCCGTCCGTCCATCTGTCTCTCGCCCTGCCTGCCTGCCTGCCTGCCTGCCTGCCTGCCTGCCTTCCTGCCTGCCTGCCTGCCTGCCTGCCTGCCTGCCTGCCTGCCTGCCTGTCTGCCTGCGTGCCTGTCTGTCTGTCTTCTGTCTGTCTGTCTGTCTGTCTGTCTGCCTGCCTGCCTGTCTGTCTGTCTGTCTGTCTGTCTGCCTGCCTGCCTGCCTGCCTGCCTGCCTGCCTGCCTGCCTGCCTGCCTGCCTGCCTGCCTGCCAGCCAGTCCATCCATCCAGCCAGCCAGCCAGCCAGCCAGCCGGCCGGCTGGACGGCCGGACGGACGGATGAACGGATGGACGGACAGACAGGCAGACGGACAGACAAACAGACAGACACGCAGACAGATAGAAAGACACGCAAACAGAAGTATGGACGCACGGACGGATGCACAGAGTGATGGACGAGCGCACGGACGAACGAACGGACGCACTCCCGAAAGCACGAACAGACTGGTGGGTGCTTCACCTCCCTCATCATCATTCACTCCGTGGTTATGCTGCGACACTCTTTTTATTGGCATGTAATGCAATGCAACTGGCTAATACCACGATTACTACGACGAAATGGATGGTACGACCCATGGTATCGTGCCTCCCATGTTCCTCCCAGCTTCGCATTTAATCCTAGTGTTTGTTATGCTGCGCTAAATATGCGACGCTCTGCACGAGGAAAGACGACCGATGGACGTCTTTCGACATTTGCAGTGAATCACGCAGATACGCAGCCAATTTGTTTTGCTTATGACGCTTAGTGTGCAAACCAATAGTGTTTTCTGACTAGTTTGTTAAGTGTTGTGCCTGAAATAGAAACTTCGAGCATATGTGAGCTTTATGGACCCCACCCACACAAAACTGCTAAATTACTTATTTCAGCTATAAGAATAATGCATGCACGGTATGTTGAACACTAAAAAAACACCCATAGCGCATTGAAATGTGTTTAAGCATTCCTCTAGTTAGAGAGACCCTGCACATTGAAATAGGTGAAGAAGACGTATTTATACTTCAAAAGCGTGGTCATCTTTCAAAAGGTGCAGGTTCAAAACTGCATTAACGCATGATCAGTTCCATGTGTGACCTAATAAAGCCAGCTGTAATAATGTACAATCAACAGGTTACACATAAAAAAGAAAACGAATATTTTTATCCATGATAAAGAGGAGTACCTAGGCATTGCAGGTGGGGCAACTTTCTGACTAGTGCAATTTCTCTAACAAGCCACTTTGATCTATAGTGCAGCTGAACAAGTGCATATAAACGCAATCATAGAGTGAAATTTCACTCTCATATTGAGCGTGTCATGCAAAATATTTATATTTTACTAAGGGTGCCCTGTTGTATGAAGTGGTGGAACAACTGAAAAACAGATATCCTGCACAACCAGGCAAAGTGAAATTTACCCTCATCGTGTGGTGCCGACTACCTACCAGCATTAGGTACTTCTAAAACTGCAGTGTGTAATAAGTGTATATAAATTATTCCTATCTTGATTACCACTAGGGTGCATAGATTGAAACTTACGGCTTTCTTCGTATTGATAAAATTCTGAATGTATATAAGATTCATCCACCAATTGTCTCGGCAAGTGCTCTCGTAAGTTGTTATAATATCCATCCAGAGTGGTCCATCACCCATGTGGTGCATCAAGAAAGCGGAAACTGCAACTGTTATCATCATGAGAGGCACAGTCCTGCAAGAGTATTCAGAAGTTTAATATTACATCTTGTACCATACCAACGAGAAATATAACACATTAGTAGTTTGTAGCCCACTCATGATTATGATGCCATACTAATGAACGGGTAATCAGCTGTGTCATTCATACTGACATTCAATGCAAATCGACTCGATAGTTTAAAACTTAACAATACTCGACGACCACTTTCTGTGGCAACGAAGGGAAAGCTACGGAGGTGGCGCCACAGCACATATTGTCCTCCGCAAAGAAGTCTGTCTCGACTCGCTTTCTGAATGCCAGCCGTATTCGAATAATAAAACCGCGCAAAATTCAGTACGTTTCCTTACACAGCTGTTTGTAGATGAAATTCGGCACAAGATCTTCGACGAGTCTGTCGGTATAGCTGGAGGTCGACGAGCACTTACCTAAAGACAAAGATGCCATTTTGATTGTTAGGTGCACCTACAACGCGCGACGTTTGCAGACGTGCGATAACACCAAATGACACTTAATAAAGCAAAACAAATAATAATAACTCCTTGGTTCATGCAGCCTTTCTTTATAAGCAGCATCCCGTATAAGAGAAAGTAATGTTTTTATTATCTTGACACGGAAAACACAGGCGCGTTTGTGGGACTGTATTCCTGAACGTTGGCACACGCCCACTTTGGTTTTGTAGCCTTCTCTTCATTGCCACAGAAAGTTGGCCCCAAGCGTAGAATGTATCGGTGATGTCAGTTTGAAGTCACTTTAAAATAATAAATTGTTGGGGTTTAACTTCTGAAAACCTCCATATGATTATGAGAGACACCATACGGGCGGCTAGCGAATTTTTGACCACCTGGGGTTTTAACGACGAAAGTCTTCCTTGGTGACCTTCGACGCAAAAATTTTGGTCTGTCTGTCTGTCTTTCTGTCTGTCTGTCTGTCTGTCTCTGTCTGTCTGTCTGTTCGTCCGTCTGTCTGTATGTATGTCAGTCTGTCTGTCTGTCTGTCTGTCTGTCTGTCTGTCTGTCTGTCTGTCTGTCTGTCTGTCTGTACGTTTGTCTGTGTGTCCGCTGTTAACGGCAAGGCGTACTGGAAATGGTCGACCCCAACCTCAGCGCCCACCAATGCTGTTCAAGGTTTAGCGTTCATACTTGTGCAATTATCAAGTAAAAAAACCATTATCGCTCGATTCGGTCATCATCGCTAGATTTGGCCAAGGCGCGGTGAGTGAATTCGATCTATATAGGCGCGTCTTTCATAATGTTTTCTCCAGCAGCCTTGAAATTATTGAGCGAAGCACTCGCACACTCGGCCAATGATTGCCGTGAAGTAGAAAGATCTCCCTCCTGCTGGTCACTCAGGATGCTCTCGTCGCAAGACTTCTGTGACTGTGGTCTTTCAACTCTGGAATTAGGAGCAGAGAAATGCATGTTGCCAAGCAGCAGAGCTTTGCTCGGCCGCCTTTTATGGTGAGCTGAACTTCCCCAGACAAAAGATAATCGGCTCCCGAAACTACGTCCTCATCGAAGCCCTCTAGTACAGGAACGACGGTGAGGGACTTAATCACAGCTTCGGTGTGTATCTGCAAATCGAGCGCACCGACAGGTAACGCGCCCCCAATAGTGCCGCGTAAGGGTGCCTTGGACCAAGGCTGAGGGCGAGTGGGGCACGGCGTCAATGTAGTGCAGTACGCGGAGTTCCAGTTTGAACCACAGCCATAAGCTCGCCAATTCTGTCGACGCGGACTTGAATCATAGGAAGTGGCCACGTTCGGTGTTGAGTAGCTGAATGTCGCCCTTGTGGTGGTGTCACGATGTTGGTCCGGTCACTGAAACTAGGCGGACGCTCCTTTCTCTGGACTGACTGTGGGGAAGAATCCGAGTCTGGTGTTTGTCTTAGCGATAGTTTCCATACTTTCTGACGGCAAGCGGCAGTGCTCAAGTGTAGCCTCGACAATGTGCCCCTCCAGAGCTTCATTGTCGGTACCACTCAGGTTGGACTTGGCGGTGGCGGCGTGGTCAAGGTGCTTCCGACCAAAAGCAGCTATAAGCCTTGCGCTCCACTACGTTTAGAACAGCTGACTTGTGCCCACAAACCGGTGCCATGCCGCAGCCCTGTTACGAAGGTGGTCAAGGGCTACGCATCATTTCTCTAGAAGCTTCTTTTGACACATGTTTGTTGTCACTTAATCATTTTTTTTAATATGCGAAACTAACCATGTCCGAAGCAAGCACTATAGTCTTTGCAGCTTCCTTTCATCTTGTCCTGAGTTCACGATATAAAAACTGTTTTGAACCACCGACTAGCCCAGAACCCCTCCCCCTTTACTGCTTAACACAGTGGAAAGGCTTTGATATCGTTTCATGTTAGCGGCTTTAAAAATGTACCTCAAGCAAAAAGCAGAATATTCAAAGAAGATCATAACTACAGCATATCTTGTACCTGGAAATATTATATCGTGTAAAAAGTGAACAGAGCACTACCGTGGGACATTGCAATGGGGCGGCAATTATAATCATTTAGTAGATTTGGGACGTTAAACCGCAAGAATTATTATTCTTACTATTACAATCAGGAGAGAAGAAAAAGTATTCGCTCTAGTACAATGCCCTATCCATATTATAGGTTTGCGAAGTTTATGGCCATTATCCCTATAAGTAGACGTTTACTATGATATAAAAAATTATGTAGATATACCAGAGAAAGCCATATTTTAGACGTCAGACATGTTGTATTGCAGGGCTCGTAAAACATTTACCACGTGGAGCTCTACTGTACAAGGTCAGTCTACTGTACTGACCTCGTAGAGTAGACGATCCTCAAATATTTCGCCATTATCGAAATATGATTGCAGCAAATTGGAAGGAACCCACGTTTTTCAGGTCAGCAGCCAAGTGCCGCAGACACTAAACCATCATTGTGGCAGCGATTGCATTCAGGACGTAAAGAAAATTAGAGGTGACAAAAAATACTTCTAGTGTGCAGTTCTCGCCCCACCGCGGTAGTCTAGTGGCTAAGGTAGTCGGCTGCTGACCCGCCGGTCGCGGGTTCGAATCGCAGCTGCGGCGGCTGCATTTCCGATGAAGGCGGAAATGTTGTAGGCCCATGTGCTCACATTTGGGTGCACGTTAAACAACCCCAGGTGGTCGAAATTTCCGGAGCCTTCCATTGAGGCGTCTCTCATAATCATTTGGTAGTTTTGGGACGGTAAAAACCGCATATCAATCAATTAGTGTGCAGTTCTCAAATGTAGAAGCCACTGATACGCTTGCTTACCTCAAGTAGCGGTGGAAATAGTAAATAAGCCAGTTATTCTGGCCATTATTTTTTCTGAGGTACGTCAGATTTGCATATCCCACGAGGAGACCACTGAAAAAGAAAAAAATGTAGTTTAGCTGCAAAGGTGACCTAATAAATAAGATAGCAGCAAAATGTAATAGTAAATCAACGTTTAACAGTTTTTAGTTCATCTCGTGCTCTCCACAATATGCTGTTGTAACGGAATACGGCCGCTCAACAGTTAGAAGCTATTTCCAGTGCTGCCTAGTAAGTGGGAGAGCACATTGCGTAGAAAAGTAAACGAGCTATTGGCTGATATCCATCAAAATATATTGTGTGATACTGCTCTCAACCACGCCCTTATCACCAATGTACGCAAAGCAAAGCTTACCAAAAGCTGCAAGATGATGGCCGCCCCATCAAAGCCACACCCATCTCTGCTAGCATGCGACTGAAAGAGACCATCTTTTTGGATAGCCCAAGATAGGCACGCGTTCGGCTATTTTGTTTTAGGGCTGGCTGGAAAGGAGTTTGACCATGGTGTCCTCCTCAGCTGACGTTGTCCCTTCTGAAAGGTTTGCCAAAGCGCGGTGGAGTTTGTTCGCCGTATTCATAGAACTCTGTCGACGCCTAACGCTAACGCAGTTTGCCCTCACACAAAAAATGAGGCATGCTGGTCGATGGTTGTGAAATTGCGAAGCATTGTCGCAAGAAGTTTCTATTCTTAAAGTGGATTCACACGAGGGAACCGAGGAGGAATTTTCGTAGCGGACGGCGCATCACGTGACATGAGCGTCATCTAAACTTGCCGTCCTCGCTTCATTTGCTCTCCTCCGATCACGGCATGGATAGAGATGTGTCGCCGCTATTTCGATACCTCCCTTTGGCGGCTGTCTGCTCTTGATCAAGGTGATTCAGCGTCAAATATGTCAGCATTGGTTGGATTGGCGTGGCTATGAAGCAGGCTGATGGCTTAAAATCCACATGTTTTAGTTTAGCGGCAACGACCAAATCTGTTTCGTGTGACAGTAGGAGAGGCAAGTGGTTTTGGGTGGTCTTGGTGGTGGATTCGTGGTTTTAATTCACAGCGCGTCGCCTGCATGACCACATAAGCGCGCTGCATAAGCATAGGAGCCGAGAGTATGCACGAGGATTCCGCAACCGTAACTCCAGCTGTGTGCATGCGACGCGTCCACTGCTGCACCCGATTAAACTAATCACGTAACTATTCGGTCCGCGGAGCAGAGAAATTTCGCTCTCGCGTGTGAATCTAGCTTTAGTGGAGTGTCACGGCGTGTCATTGCCCATAAGGACGGGCTAGAGCGACGCTGTTGTGTTTTTCTGCCCGTAGAAGGTTGAAGCCCTTTTTATTTTTATGTCACATTTTGGAGCGAGCTTGAGACTGCGTTTTGTGGTGTTAAAACGAGGCATAAAGTGTTGCTCATTCTACCGAGAGAAGCATGGTGTATTTATGACGCTTCACACGGCGCCTTCGTGTAACTAATGAATGTGTGCAGATGTGGGCTAATTCGCGCAAGGCACTGACAAACGCATTTCTATGACGCGCTTAGCCCTAACCCATACTAGTGGCCGTACTGAGATAGGTGCACACTACAGAGCCATTTTTTTAGATTAACAGGTGAGGATGAGTATTCACGCCATTGAGCAAAAATGAGTGAACAGAAACAATTATGAAAGCTCATTCTTGCTGTCGAACTTGACTGATCCAGTGAAGGATTGAGGTGTGGTAAGTACCAGTGCACGATTGTGAGTCTCAATAGTTTCTAAGAAACCAACAATGGCTTATTAGTAGCTATCTGCTCCTTTTATTTATTATTAGCAATAGATGACTAATACCAATAGAAGTTGGAATGTAAGAGATATCCGCACTCATCCTGGCTGCTATTGTGCGCCATAACAACTATTTCATTCACTCTTGCATTTACACCCTGTCTGTGCACACTTTTCTATTCGTTGGGAATCTTGGCGTGGCATCGTTTACATTAAATTAACAAGTGAACTGTGGAGATTAGAAATGCGAGTTATCGGTGATAGCTTATTTTCTCAGAGCGTTTGCTCCTCAGTCGGTGTATAGTTTATCGATGTTATAAATAAAGGTTCTTAGGTATTCGCAGGTAATGTTGTTTCTCATGACGTGAGGATTTACGCTTTTTAAAAAGACGTTTAATAACATCCTGCAGACAAAAGCTTGTATCCTAGGTAAGTGGATCATCTCACAGTCATGACACGTGGCAGGCAGGTCTCAGTAAATTTAATCATTGTGTAATTCTTGAAGAACGAAAAACGTGTGCCTCTATGCAGCGGTATGTCTACTATTCTGTTTTCCGGTAGGGAAGAAGTTGCTTGAAAAGGGCAGGAGGTCATACAAACTATCGACCAAGTGACGACCAAATACGTACGGTTGTCTCGATCAGTGAGGTTTGTGCACATTAGGCAATTCAATTTCATTCCTTTAGTACGCATTTCGTTAGTTCTGCTTGTCACTTCTCCTGGTTCGTTTTGATGGGGCTGCTGAGTGATTCAGCGGCTATGCTGTTTCTTGTAAAAAAAAATGTGTGCGTTTACAGTTGATGATAATTTTCTGAGACGTATCGACGAGCTCATGAGACATGATGTGCGTTCAATTGAAAGACGTCTAGCCTTGAGGCAAGCATTGATTATTGAACATGAACCATGTTTCCCTTTTGCTGCCTTTCACTGTGTTCGACCATGCCTGACATTTTGATGGTTTAACTTATGTAAAATGACTTTAATTTGGCTAACTTCGTTTATCTTCAAGCAATGTTGAAGATACAGCATAAGGAATGACGTTTTTCACCAATATACGTATAGCGATAATCAATGTATTGAATAAGAGATATATGCATTGCTAGACGAGCAAGTCTATGTGCTTGTGCATAACATACCCAACGAACAAAAACGTATCCACTGCCAAAGTTCCTCGATCAATAATTGTCGTCGTCAGGTGATTTTTGTACAGTTCGTATGAGTTGCCTGCAATTGAAAGATCGTGTGAGCTCCGTAGGAAACGGAAATGTAAGTTTCTGCAATACATTGCTATTTCACCATTTTTTTGTAGAGTCACCTCACATTTTTCATTAGCTGATGGGCAGGTTTGCTACCCGTGCATATCACACGCTTTCGTGGCTTGGAATTCTCGCATATACGTATAGCCAACAAAGCAAATGTGCAAGTGGGTCGCGAATGATTTCACCCAAGATTGCATACTTCTGCATCTCAAGAAACTTTCTCAAATGGATTTTCTTTTTCTCTAGTTTTCCTTGTTTTACTCCTGCCCCATTTTCGCTAAGCGTGGTACTTACGTTTAAATAATATCTTTGAGTGAACAACTTTTGGCTACTACTATTTGTGCATCGATTTTAACTTTTCATATCGGGTTTCTATTCATTGCACATATTCACCATGCAATTAGAGCGTCCTTGATCGGTGTCGCTGACCACTAAGCGTTTCATCAAATGGCCAAAGTTCTAGAAGCTGCCATGTAGTAATGCCACTCAGAACATTCTGGAACGACATTATATGGATATATATTTATGCAGCATGACGTAAATCATGGATGAGTGTGAATTTTTACAATTTTTTTAGTAGGCAATCTTTTACATTTATATTTTCATAAAAATAATAATGCTTTCATACGTACGGAAAACTGCGATGTCACGAGAAATATATCGATTGTGGATACACACAATCCATGCAATGCTGAAAAATCTCAGCCCATTCAAGACGGTCAATGATCCCGCCGTCGAGATCTCGCTTCCAAACAGTCTGGCGCCGTTTTCAAGTAGAGAGAAACAAAGAAGTGCCTTGCGGGTTTTTGGACCAAATGATCCTTCTATGAAGAAGACACAGTGATGGACTGTTATTGACAGGTACACATAAAGAACGCTCGTCAACTTCACAAAAAAACACTGTAAGCTTTTATGTGCCAGAACTAGACCGTGACATTAGAATCTGTCTCATAGCTGGGTAGGCCAGTTCAGTTTGTGTATTTTACGTACTTGAACGTGCATCCAAGTTGACGTGAACATATATGCTTACCAAGGAGCTGTTCAAAGCCAAAGTAAGTTGCTGAGGATCGTTGTTGCCCTTGTTAGCCCAGCTGCGAAGGCCGAGCCGGGCGAGTTGGAAAGCGTGGGTTAAGACGAAGTGGTGACACAAAACCGTACTGTAGCAAGTAGAGTGTGGTGAAAAAATACTAGCAAGGTGTAGAGGGTGAAACTGAGAAAGTGAGCAAAGGTGAACTTTGAGTGGAAATAGTGCGACCAACAGCTGCAGTCGAGTAATCGTAGCGCTCCCTCAAGCACTGGTGGTGCTGTTGGGAGGGCATTACAAGCGCAGTCGAAAACCGAGGAAAGGCACTATGACTTTACCGGAATAGCTGTGCCATGAGCCTTCTCGTCGTTTTATTTATTTATTTATTTATTTATTTATTTATTTATTTATTTATTTATTTATTTATTTATTTATTTATTTATGTATTTATTTATTCTTAAATACCGCAGTCTTATACAGGGTTAATTTAGGAGTGGGGTATATTTACATTTTTCGTGCTTCTTGTCCGCAGAAGAACACGCAAATAGTGGGAACGTGTTACCACTTTTCCTTTTGATATACTTTATCCATGGATCATCATACAGAAGAGCTGTATCGTAATTCCTTCCACCAGCACATCCACGTTTATAATCGCTGTGGCGCTAAAAGCCCCTAAAAGACCCTGCCCTTTCGAACTTGAGCTTGCTAAAGTTCAGATTGAAAATTTTCGTCGTGCTTTCTTTTTAAAAGTCATCTCATTTACAAAAGCATGTCTACTGATCGGAGCAGCCGCAATTTGGTTTTAATATGCGCGGCTATAGTGAGGTCATCGCTGGCGGCTCTGGTGTCGAAAGCCTGTGAAGTGGGTACACCCATGTTCGTCTCTCGCTTTCCAGGGTCAATAGCTGAAGGTTAAAAAAATGAACATCATGGCATCGCATTTACTTCTTCGTTTTGAAATAAACAATGGAGGGGAGGCTGCTGTGTCGCTTGAAATAGCTGGTGCGCGCTATCTCGCGACATAATGAGACTTCTCATGAACTTTCTGTGCTACTAACATCTGCTTTGCGTTTAGATAACTGACAGCACAAAAGCTTCAGACAATAGAGTGATCATTGTCCTTTTAGCCAGCGTTATTTTGAGTTACGGATACCCAATCTAAAAGATACTATTTTTTAGTTTGACTTATACTCTTAGCAGTGAATGCGATACCAACAAATTGTATTGTTATACCAAATAATAATGCTTGACGTCCGTGCACTTGGAAAAACTTACCGCACACATCTACGACTTTGGTGACTAGAGACCCCCGAAACATCTCTTGCATGCCTGTGCACGTAAAGATGAAATCAGACTTATTTAGAGCGCCCAGCCAGCCGCTCCAGCTGGCGTTTTATTCAGAAATATGTTAAGAGAGATGCTGTAATGCTACCAAACGTGGTCCTACTGCGTGTTAGGCCCTTGTACTATAATGTAAGCATCAACGGAAGCTTGTAGCTAACGTGAGATAGAAGCCGCGGCCAACAACAGTGTCAACAGGCACGCGCTCCACTGCTCTAGACCAGTGTTATTCTATCTGTGCAGCACGAACGGAACGTACGAATGGATCGCTGAAATTACGCGATGATGGTGTGGTTGCCTTGCGATCAATGTTCAGTGCACACCCTTATACGGCCACTCTAGGAAGCGAAGCACTTTTTGCATAGTCTGTTTGCATTGAGAGTACAAGGCGTGTGCCAGCGATCATGCCCTTTAAGTCAAAGTTCATAGCAATGCCCCGACCCTCACGTTTCTAGCTCGATCCTTTCTGCCCCTTGTACATGGGCGGCACGTTCCTCTCTGCTTGAGTAACAACCGATGGGATGTTCCTCGTCGGCGAAGGCGTTACCAGTTTCGCTCCGTCAGTCGAGGTGATCGGACGCACCATGGGCAGTTTCGCTCCGTCAGTCGAGGTGATCGGACGCACCATGGCCCGCTCCCGGTGGGACTAGCGCCGCCCTTTCGTCGTTGTCTGAAGGAGGTGTTGGTTGATTCGAGTGGGACGAGACCCGCTGTTCGCATGCGGTGACCCGGTGGACTCCTGCACAGGTTTTCCTCGGTTTTCGCAAGTTTTTGGTGAGGTTTTTTGTCCCCTTTTCTCTGCCCTTTTTTCTTTTTTTTCCCAGGTTAGGCTAGCTCCTAACTGACTTGGTAGCCTCGTGGTGGTGGTACCACGATGACTACCAGTCTGCTCTCGCAGATTAGGCCGCGGGTGCACTACGCACGCGTGCCTAAGGGCGTCGGCAGTGCCGACATTTATAGAGAGCTCGTGAAGCGCTTCACGCTCAGCGAGCTGACGTGTGTTCAGGATTATGGCTTAGGGAAGTTTGAGGTGACGTTCGCGAACGACGAGGCGAGTCGGCGGTTTTCCGACGATCCAGTCCTCGCCATTCGCGATGCGAGGATCAGGTTTCAGGACCGAGGTGTTCGGGTCAAGGTGGTGCGCGTCATTGGCTTCCCGGCGGACGCGGATGTGCGCATCATAACACAACTGTTGGCGAGGTTTGGAAGGGTTTTGGATGTGACGCGAGAGGAGTCAGCGTATCTGCCGGGAGTCTTGAGCGGCGTCCTCATGGTCAAAATGGAGATGCACAAGAGTGTCCCCAACCTCATCGAGGTGAGGGACATCATCGTCCAGTTTGAGTATGAGGGTGTCGCGCGGGTTTGCCGGCGCTGCTACCGAACCGGACACCATGCGGCGAAGTGCACTGTACCACAGTGCGTGCGCTGTGGGGCTTTTGGTCACGACCAGTGCGCGGTCAAATGCAAGCACTGCGGCGGCGATCATGGCCCCTCACAGTGCAAGGCGCGGACGACTTCGTCGGCCGCCCCGCCTGTAGCCTCTTCTTCTTCCCAGGAGCAGGTGAGCGGCGTTGCGGAGGGTCGGGAGGCTGTTCCAGGGGACGCCGAGGGCTCGACCCAGCCACAGCCGGAGCCCATTAGCGAACGGGCTCCAGGAGGGGAAGAGCAGGAGGCGGGGTCGGAATTAGCTGAGGCCCCCACCCTCTCTGCTGCCGCCGAGCCGTCGCCGGCCTCGCCTGCCGGTGCGCCCGGGACCAGCCCTGCTGACGCGCCTGCTGCCGAGGAGAAACAGGAACCCATGAGCTGGACGGACGCTGTTCGGGGCGAGAAGCGGCGCGCCAACCGATCACCAGGGCCCTCCAAGGAGAGGCTGGCGGCGGCTCCGAGCGGCGGCCCCGGCGGCCCTAAGGACGGCCTCCCGGTTCCGAAGCGAGCCGCAGCGACAGAGTCCGACGAGGAGTCCACCTCGTCGACTGTCACGGACGGTACCGCGGGTGAGTTGAACAACAGTTCTTCTTGCCCTAACTGTGGACCAGGCAATTGCGAGTGTTCGTTAATGTCTAACACAGTGTAATCGTCCACGAACGAGGATTCCCTCTCCGAGGGGGACTCTCGTTCGTAGGTTTTTATGTTAGGTAGCTTTTCAGCAGCTGATACCTTCGAGTATCTGCTGTTTTCTTCTCTTCTGTGATTTTCTTTTCGCTTCTTGCCTATTCTAGAGTCTGTTTTCTCTCCTATCTTTCATCATGGCTTCTTCTTTCACTATTGCTACCTTTAACTGTCGAGGCATCACTAGAGCAGCGAAACAAGCTGAGGTTATCCATCTAGCTCGGTCTCAGAAAATAGACATTCTCCTTTTGCAGGAAACTTTTGTGTCTAGATTGCAACAGATTAAGAACTTCGACAGAACGTTTGGCACCAAATCCTACTGGAATTATGGTGGCGCACATTGCCGGGGAGTTGCTGTCATTTTAATGCCACGATTCACCGGTTCTGTGCTACGCTACGCCAGGGATTCGGATGGCCGTGTTCTGTCGGTGGATCTTGACTCTGGCGTTAGAATTGTTAATGTGTACGCTCCAGCGCAGTACATACAGCAGAAAGATTTCTTTAATTCCCTGGATTCTTATCTAGTTGGCCCTTCCCGTGTCATTTTAGTAGGCGACTTCAACTGCGTTTTAGAAAAAGCGGATCGCGTTTCCCTCAAAGGAACTCCAAAGTTTAGAAACCGAAACAACGACCTAGAGTTGCGGGAGCTTGTTCAAGAGCTGGGGCTTGTCGATGCTTGGCGGTCCCTCCGCCCTCTCCAGTCAGGAATGACTTGGACTGGGAGGGGGAGCCGCTCGAGGATCGATCGTTTTTATGTCTCGCCCTCGCTCGCTCCTAGCATGCACTCTAGCTGGCTGTGTTCTTCCGCATTGAGTGACCATAGCCTCCTTGCACTGAGATTTGCCGACTCTAGTTTAGTGCCATGGGGCAAGCGACCGTGGCGTTTAAATCCGCGGCTCCTTAAAGATAAGGACGCCACCAAAGATGTAGCGACCTATCTCATCGGTTCACTCCTTGGCGACCAGAACTTAGGCGGTAGCGATTGGGACACGGTGAAGGCCGGAGTCGCGGAGCGCTTTCGGGACTGGGGCAAGAGGCGGGTGCGGGAGGAGCGCGCCGGGATCAAAACGGTCTCTGACGCGATTCTCCTGCTCTCAAAGCCATTGTCCTGCGGCCCGGGGGTAGCCGCGGCTCTCACTTCACTGCGCAAAGAATATAGAGTCCTGCTCCAGCGACGCTGGGACCGCTTGCGGGCCACAGCACGCGCAGAGCAGTGGGAAATGGAGGCTTGGTGCAGCAGAAATGTCCTTCGCAGACACTTGGCTAGGAAGAGCTCAGCGATAACCTCTTTGGTCAATCCTAACACAGGCAGTTTAGTGGAAACGCAGGACGAAGTATTAGAGGTGGCAA